ATATATATATATATTTATATATATATATATATATTGTTTTTTTTCCACACTATAAGGCGCTTCAATGAATGGCCAATTTTAAAACTGTTTTCATATACTGTATAGGGTGCACGACATTATAAGGCGCATAGAAAAGAAGCCACAATAGTGGCTGCGGTTGCATTATGCATCCACTTGATGGAGCTACGCTAAAGGGAATAAAATGCAATACAATACAGCTTTATTTATACCATGTGCTTGAACTGGGGCAGCAGAAGTGATCTGCACAGGAGATGGTGCCAAAGGCAGATTCTTGACTCTACCAGTGGTGGTATCCTGCACAAAATGAGATAGTGTCAATTAACTGAAAATACTACTGTATGTAATCTAGGGCTACGTGATTATGGGCAAAATGATAATTGTGATTACTCCGATCAATAATGTAATCACGATTATTAATCGTACACTCATGTTATGGAAAACAGTATTTCTATTGTGCAACTTTTCAACAAACGTAAACAGGTTTCAGTGCAAAATGAAACTTGAACTAATCAATGACAAAATGAACTCAAGCATTTCCAATTTACCAAGGGATAACTGAAAAAAATCAACTGCTGAATGCAATCACAAAGTGCAGCTCAGTGGAACAAATACAGTTTATACATAAACAACAATGCCACTGGGCTTCAAGCATTCATTTGAAAATTCCCGTGAATGCAGAGGACCCCCACTATTTACACGGGATAAGAACTGGTCAGGCCCATGAACAGCAAAAATGTGCGTAGAAATTAAGGCTCACTGATATGCACTGGAATTTAAAAAATTATATTTTTAATTCCCGAAATTCTTCAAAAAAATAATGATAAACATTCTAAATCACCCAAAATGTTCAACATATTTTTAAAAAATATTGAAAGAAATTGAAAATAATCCGCTGATATGCAAATCCGCAGGTGCCGAACCCCAAGTATGTGGGGGGCCACTTGATAGTCAATTATCAAGGGCAGGTACAGCTGTTGTTCTGCTTGACCATAGGTCAGTCATGGTAAGTGGCAGAGCCAGGAATTTTCATCTTGATGGCGGTCAGTGTGGTGGGTGGTAGTATCTCACTGGCTTCAACACGGATATAGATTTTTCGTCTATATGTGAAAGCTTCTGTGCATTTGATGGGCTGTACAGTACTTTGTAACCTCGCCGCATCACTTAACGTTAATTCATATTTTGAATTGTCACAAAATCAGTGGCCGAGATTCACCACTCGTGAAATGTTATGGCAGAACCCTAATCGATGAAAGAGGCTTGCAGAGTTCCGTTGAAAGGCGCTAAGCTAGTCAGCGAATCACCTCTGATTTTAAGGCAGGGGTGCCCATTACGTCGATCGCAATCGACCGGGAGCCAGCGACCTGGAACCAAGTCGACTGCAAGGGGTGGGAGGATGAAAATGGTGGGATTTTTTTTTTTTTTTTTTTTTTTTTTTGGTTTTTTTTTTTTTTGGGCCCGTTCTTTTTTTGTGAAATGTTATGTCAGAACCCTAATCGAGGAAAGAGTCTTTCAGAGTTCCGTTGAAAGGCGCTAAGCTAGTCAGCGAATCACCTCTGATTTTAAGGCAGGGGTGCCCATTACGTCGATCGCAATCGACCGGGAGCCAGCGACCTGGAACCAAGTCGACTGCAAGGGGTGGGAGGATGAAAATGGTGGGATTTTTTTTTTTTTTTTGTGTGTCTTGAGCTTTCGTTCATTTTCGGCCCGTTCCAACTGTTGCTCATCATGGCGTGCGTGCATATGTGCGCGAGTGAACGGGTGGGCACCCGCGCGTGTGTGTGTGTGTGTGTGTGTGTGTGCGTGTGTGTGTGTGTGTGTGTGTGCGCGCGCACGTGCGCGAACGGGTCGATCGTGGGAAGTTGGTCGCTTCAAAATCGATCTTTGGGCAAAAAAGTGTGTGTGTGTGTGTGTGTGTGTGTGTGTGTGTGTGTGTGTGTGTGTGCGTGCGCGTGCGTGCGTGTGTGTGCGTGCGTGCGTGCGCGTGTGTGCGTGTGTGCCCTAAGAAGGATATGATGTGGCTCTTTGTAGTAACACAGTAAAAAAAATTGTCTCTTAGTCTCTGACTGGTTGGCCACCCCTGGCCTACACAGACTGGGTTGGTGCTCAATATTAAGCTATGTTATTCACGGAACATCCATAAAACTTGCCCGGGAATGCAGAAAATGAAAGCTCCATTAGAAATGTGTTTGTCCGTGCGTGTTTGTATGCATGCTGATCCTCCTGCCACCCCCTTGACATGCCAGGTAAAACTGTCGGGAACTGCTATTGGTAACACTTGACACTCACCTCCAATTCAGAGTCACTAGATTCAGGCTGGCATGTTAGAAAGGGTAACATGGGTTGGCCCATCTTGGCCATACGAGAGATCAGCTTGGCTTTTGTGGGATCTGTAGTCTGGATTTGGACAAAGAATTAACATAGTTAAATTGAAACAGCTGCAGCAACTAGTCATCAGGCATGACTTACTGTGAGTTGTTCACTGAGGGAATTTGACTTTGCATGCTGAGGTGTCTCCCTAGGGGCAAAAAAAGCGAACTGTCAAAAAGCTTGATGGAAAATCGTATTACGGTATATGTATTTTTTTTAAGTATAAGCCTCACCCTGGTCTGCCTGAGTCCAGTGCAGCTGTTTGTACTGGTGGCTCTGTTGTCAGATTCTCAACACTCGGAGCAGGGGAGAGAGTACCAGAATCTCTTGAACTGGCACTAGCCTGATCTGAGCCACATTCCTTGGAAATTTTCACCTGCAGCACATCAGTATAACTGAATAAAATGACCCGTTTGCAAGAACAACTATCGAGAGATCATTGCTACTGCTGTGAAGGTAATAATTTAATATCCATATCTCGAACCAAAGTTACTGCTTCTTAAAAGATGATCGGTCAAACTTATTATGTGGCAGAATACTGTCTGAGCAAATTTAGGTAGATTAGGAGCAAAATACACAGGTGCTCACCCGTCTGAGTGCTGCTTCAAAAATTAGAGTGCTGTTAGCTGGGACACGGTCAGGGAGACCTTGTGATCCATAAGCAAGGTTCGGTGGGACAACAATGAGACGACAGCCAGCCTTCTTCATCCCGAGCACCCCCTTCTCCCATCCCTGCTCACACAACAAGAGTACAAACAGATTAAGTGTTTAGAAAAAAACAAAAACAAAAAAACAACAGGAAAAAATATTATTATAGACGCATGCTGCACTCATTGGCCCTTCCTCAATATGAAGTATGCAGAGTACAGTCTTGTGACCTTGTTAAGTAGGGTCTTTTAAGAACATATGCGAGGAAGTTCTTCCTAAATCTCCTTGTAAATTGGAAAGGCTGTACCCCTTCCACCAAAGCCCCCCCGCTGACCACCCTGACTTTTTCAGTTGGTCGACGAGCACAAACTTGGTCACACAGTTTTTTAAGGCAGTACAGCATGACCATTTTTAATGACAGATAGTTGTCTCGATTGGCATATTGTATGTAGTTAGATATGCTGGAAAGATTGACAGGGACTGACGATATATTTCCAAAATATTTTACTGGAACAAGAACTTTGCAACAAGAAAATGAATCAGTTATTTTATACACCTTTAAAAGAAGACAAAATAAGGAAGGTTACCACCGCTCCAGTCATTTGGCTTAACATGGGCCGAGTTGTGGTAGCCCTGCCAGAACCGACACTGGCCCTGACTTAAAACAATACTTAGTGAAATGTATAATTACCGGTATATTCTGTATGTTGGCCTCCCGGTGGAAAACGCAGCCACACTCTCTTCTCCCCATTATGAAGATATAGTGATTTGACAATACTAAGTTTAATTTACAGTATAATACATGTAGGCCTACTTGTGGATGAAATGGTGAAGTGTGTGAACCCAATGACCAAAATGTCACTGAATAAGGGTGATGGGATGTTCACAGAAGGTGGACAAAGAGCGAATATGACTGACCAAACTAAGTGGATAAAACTCAAAATATTGAATATTAGATATTAAAAGAGCAACAACGTGATCATCATGCCATTTGTTCAAACAAAATAATCTAGCGCCTCGAAAATTCACTTGGTGCTCAGTCAACTATAGCTGCAAAACCTAAAGAAAACATGTTTTCATCTTACTTGAATTACTTTTCCAGCTCCAATTTTCAGCCGTAACAACTTGTCTTTATTTTGGTTGGAGTCGAACATCTGAAATGAAATAAAACTCAATTGTTCATAATTGTTCCTGAAACCCCCACCAGAACTGAACAAAAAATTTTTGTTTGGCTTCAATTCCAAACCTGTCCAATAGTGTGGTTCTGCAAGAGCCAGCCTCTGTATGCCACCTCTAAAGAGTCTCCATATTGTACTGCCTGGCCTTCCCCGGGACTTAGATCCTGAGTCAGCACCGCATCGAAAACGTTGCAGCTGTTTGCCTTTGCCAAACACACCTAATGGAAAAAAAAATATATATAGACCGTGAGCAAAAGTTAATATACATATACATATATATACAAATATACATATATACATACACACACAGACACACACACACACACATTAAAAAGAAAAAAAAACACGGTGGAAGACTTTTTTAATGGAGGATTTGCAGCCCTACTTCCCTTTTTTCTCTCCTTAGTTAATGAGCAATAACTGTTATGTATTTTAATTATGATAGTGTGTTTGCACTTATTTCGATATTGATTTCTATTTATTTTAACCACACAACACTGGTTAAAAAATAAAAGATTATTACAGTTTTGGAGCGGAAACGGATCAATGCCATTTATATTCATTTCAATGGGAAAAATTACCTCAATTCTAGGTTCCAAACAGAGGTTCCAATATATTTAAACTGAAATTCTCAACTCAACTCAACTGTATTTATAGAGCACTTTCAAACAGCCATCGCTGCATACAAAGTGCTGTACATGGAGCAAATCAACATATACAACAAACAGTAAAGCAAATCGGTAATAAAGACGGTAGAAAGCACCGAACAGCAAAACCAAGAACAAAACTAAGTCATGCTGAGTCAAATGCCAAAGAATACAAGTGAGTTTTGAGGCGGGTTTTGAAGATGGGCAGCGAGGAGGATTGCCGAATGCTCAGTGAGAGGTCATTCCAGAGAGAGGGACCAGCAACAGAAAAGGCTTGATCCCCTCTGAGCCTCAGTTTAGTTCTTGGTACTTCTAATAATGTCTGGTCCGCAGACCTGAGGCGCCGGGCAGGTGTGTAGGGGCAGATGAGCTCAGAGAGGTAAGGGTGTAAAGTAAGCTCTTATATTTGTGTGTATTTCTCAATGGCCCATTGTTTCATTTTATCTTGTTTCTATGTGTTCACACAAAGTATCTCCCACACGCACCACATTCCTCACACGAGCTCACAGAATTTCACCAGTACTTTTCCATTGTTTGCACTGCGCATGATCCTTTCTTCTTAATAAAAACACTTTGCGGTGGGAAGATCCAGGTGGAACAGGAGATCTTGTGAGCCGAGCACACTGTGACCTCGTGCCCTCCCTGTTCTTCCCTGCTGCAGCAGTCAAAACCTTATTTCCGTGTGCGCGCCTGTTCTTTGCCCGGGTCGGTCGAGTCTTTTAGACTTTAGACCTAACAGCTGTCTAAGGTGAAAGAAGCTGGATTTAACAACGGCACCAATTTGCCGGTCAAGTTTGAAATCACTGTCCAGTTTAAGGCCCAAGTTTGAGACTGTTGACTTAAGATAAGGAGACAGGAGGCCCAAGTCGACAGGATTTGATGTACAAGGCCCACTGGGACCAAACAGTATCACCTCTGTCTTCTTTTCATTGAAAGTCAAGACATTTTGTGCCATCCAGGTTTTGATTTCTTCCAGGCAGGATAGAAGTGGCCTTGCCTGCATGTGCACCACTTTTTCCAGAATTTTTGAAATGAAAGGCAGTTTGGAGATGGGCCTGAAATTTGACAGCACATCTGGATCAACACCAGGTTTCTTGATCAAGGGTTGGACCACAGCATGTTTAAACTGTTGGAGAACTATTCCAGAAGAGAGGCTGCTGTTGATGATGTCCAAGACCGATGCACCAACACTCGGTAGAACCTCCTGAAAGAAATGCGGGGGAAGAGAGTCGCAGGGGGAGCCAGATGGCTTTGTCTGGCGAACTACATCCTCCAAAAGCTTCAAGGACACAGTTTCAAAAGAATTTAGCACCGCTGAACACGGAATATGGACAGAGGGGTCAGATGCGGTATTTGAGACCTAAGTCCTAGCTGTAGAGACCTTATCAATAAAAAACTGAAGGAATCTGTTGAAATCACCCAAAAATGTCAAAATAAAAAAGTGATTCGATTTCGCAAAGTCCTGACAACGTTTTTTAAAGATGATTCTTGATTTATTTTTTGATCTTGTGACTTGTTGTTCCTTACCTCTTTACAGAATTCAGATGATGATTTCTCTGATTCAAACATTAGGGACCAATTCTGCCTTTGGTCATCATAAAATGTGCAGTAATTGTTGGACTGTACCTGCAGAAAAACAAAAAATGTGAAATACGAAGTTGTTTAGTGTACATAAGATGCATCATGTTTTATGATGTGATGTGTTTTATTTTAGTGTGAAAGCAAAGACATTCAAACATTTATATATACATTCAGAAACAAAGAACGAGAGAAAGACTTTTTGAATGTTTGGCACCACCATTGCTGGTAATTGTGGTGCATAGATCAGTGGTCCAGAGGCTATTTCACACATGATGTGATCAGTTCCCTATCCCCAACTGTGGTTTTGGACAAATACTTCCGGCATGTGTCTTTTTTCATCAGCTTCTTCATTAACTCAGTCAATGACTCAGTCATTTGTAGCACAGCCAACCACTAGAGTGCCCTCCCTTTTAGATAGAGCATTTTGACCTATCTTTGAAGGCCCACAGTATATTGTGTTCTATGGCTACATGGAACATGGAACCAACCAAAAGAAAAATCGGATTCTATTCTCTTCTTAGGTAAATATTTATTTCTAGTGTATGTCATTCTTGATTATTGAGTCATCTGCAGTAGAACATAGTCTGAAAGTTTAAAAGTAAAGTCTGTTTCGGTTAAAAAAAAAAAAAAGTGTGTGTCTGTCTGTCTGTCTGGAGAGAGAGGGAGAGGGAGAGGGAGAGGGAGAGGGAGAGGGAGAGAGAGAGAGAGAGAGAGAGAGAGAGAGAGAGAGAGACCAATGGTTCTTAACCTTGTTAGAGGTAGCGAACCCAATCAGTTCATATGCACGTTCACCAAACCCTTCATTAATGGAAAATAAAAATATGATTTGTTTTTCCTACAAATTCAAGACATTAAAAAACGCATTTATTAAAAACAAAAAAGTAAAAACAATTAGTATAAGTATAAAGTTGAAGTTTTTTTTAATTGTGCACAAAATGAACCAGCCAGTGATGGCCAAGCGTGTGTATTCTTACGAATTGACATGTTGAGTCGGGCGTGTCTTAACCTCCATGACAGAGGCTCTGTTGAACCCCTGAGACTGATTCACCGAACCCCTAGGGTTTGATCGAACCCAGGTTAAGAACCACTGATATAAGCCCCGTTCACACGGCAACGTTTGGTCCGACGCAGCTCCGAAATAAATCCAGTCGAGCGTTCACACGTGCACATTTGCTCCGGCGTAGCTCCACTAAAGAGCTTATACCGGACCAAATTTGATCCACCTCAGGGAGGTGGTTTAAAAATTTGCTCCAGAGCAAATGCTCGTTTGCAACGCTACGCCGAAACAAATATGCACGTGTGAACGCAGCTGGATTAAATTTGCTCCAGCGATCAAGAAGAGGATCGAGAAAGCAGTGACGTCAGCCGAGCCCGATTTGCAGGCCCGAGCCTGAAGCAAACCCGACATTTCATATTTTATTTGTGAGTATTTTGGGGAGAAAAAAACGCAAGATTTCTTACGGTTAAAATAATCTACATATTTTTATGAACATTATCAATGCATTTGCACAACGAAATAACGCTGAAATACAGAATAAGAGGCCAGACAAAGAGAAATCTCGATGTGCATTTGCTTAATTACGCAGAGAAATCCTGCGGCTTACTAGGCTTTAAATAGAATAATTCAAATGAAATAAATAGGTAAAGATATCTGAAATTATTTCTACAGGATTGTTTAAACGAAATTAACATACATGCGCACTGGTCTGGCCGGCTGCGCTCCTGTTTAGCAGTCAAATAGCAATTAAATTACAGCGCATTCTCTGTTTTATCCAAATTGTTTGTTTTAAAACAAGTATTCCTTAGTTTAGTATCCGCACATTGTTTTAGTATACATTTTTTAAAACATATATCGTGGCAGTCATCAGGAGCACACACGATTGACTGTAAACACGTCTTTATTCCACGACTGCCGACAAGTGGATCTATTCTGAACAAGGACAGAATAGTGTCCACCATAATATTTATTAAAAGAAAAATAAATAAAAGTCCGCGAGAGAGAAGCCCGACCCGAACCTGTTTTACTTCCGCATTCCTGTCGTTTTGGTCCGGAGCAGAAAGTGCACGTGTGACCGCAAGTTAGCTGCTTCGACGCTGCGCCGGAGTTTGCACGTGTGAACGCTCCACAAAATTTGCTCCGGTGTACAATACATCGCAACAAAATATTTCGGAGCTGTGTCGGACCAAATGTGTGCCGTGTGAACGGGGCTTTTAACATCCTACAGAAATATATGGACACTGTGCTACGTACATTTGCGAAACGTGCTTCACCGCTCAGTGAGATGCGGCCTTTTATGAATTAAGTTTGTCAACCAACGTCCCAAAGCTCACCGTAAAAATGAAGTCAATGTGGATCTTGGCAGAAGTAACTGGCTTCTGCTGGCTCAAGTACAGGAGCAACTTGTACTATACAAAAAGAGAGACATTATTTAGAAAAATGGCAGATCAGCACAATCATCAGAACGCCCATCCAATGGTTCTAATACATAATATGTACTACGGTATTCCAAAGCGCAGTCCCTACCTCTTTACTCGTGTGGTTGCCCAGTATGGCCGCCCCCAGCTTTCCCTGCTTCACGTACTGTCCCTTTATACTGTGTAAGGGGCATGCAATTATTTTAAATTGTTCTCTTCAGATCATTCCCACAGACAATATATGAGCATTTAGACAAAGTGCATATGGTAGAACAATGTGTAAAATACAATTGAATGAAAACAAACTGGTCTTCATTTCTTTCAACATTAAAATCGGGGTATTTACTATCGAAAGGCGTGGACAGCGACGGCAAATAAGACTTCAAGGGGACCAGGTGATGGTGCTGCTGTCTGGATGCCTGAAACTGCAAAACAAGATGCAGCAAAACATTGAGCAGTCACATCAAATTACATTCACTTCATTAATCAGTTTGAATTGTCTCACCTGGATTTGAACTTTTTCTAGGCTGTTTTGGTGCTGTGTAATGAAAGGAATCATTCCCTTGACTGGTTTCTTCGTCAAGCCCAAACAGAGAAGCCAACTTGGCCCTCCAAGAAGAGCAAATGTCAAGTCAAAATAAGTTTGTTTAACCTCAAATAAATGATCATTTTAAATATTGGTTTGGGTTTATTTGACGATCAGGGCTGGACTGCCACAGGGAAAAAAAAAGAAAAAAAAGAAAATGAATCAAAGAAAATGACATCCCTGTTTCTTTATATTTTTTATTTCTTAATGATACGCAACTCAACATTACTATTTCATAACACAAAAATAGCTACTGTGATAAAATAAAATAAAATCATAAAAACTTTACTTTTAGAAATCCGTGACTTAAATGGGGGGGTGATAAGCATCTTTTTGGACAGGCACTGAGAGGCATACAACACAGCCAGCTTTCTTAACCAGCTGGATTGTTTACAACTGTTTGTCAAACAAGATGGCATTTAGCTGCCAACACAACCACCATCAGTAACCAGACTGACTGCCAAAGTGTAAACTTTTTTGGACGGAGGACTAGCGATTCTCGTCTTGTCTGTTTGAAGCAAAGTGAAGTCACTCCCTCCCACATACAAACACGGTGAACACTCACGAGACAAGCGGCACATCACATTGGGTCTAATGTAGTGTATTGGTGGTTACACACGTAAGACAGGATGGATGTGTTTCTGTCAGTTGTTAGTGAAATGGGTGTCTGCAGGTACTTAACCAGGTTAGGGATGATTAAAGGAACAGACAAAAACCCACTTCCGTCCTTGCTTAGTCCGTCCTTTTCAACAACAAAAAAAATCTCATCCTCTGTCCTCAAAATGGGCGATCGTTCCATCCCAGTGGACAGAATGCCAATCTCTGTTATAATGCATTAGCAAAAAAAAAGTCGTGACAGACAAATAACTAATTTAATTGATAATTTAGAATTACTTAATGATTATGAATTAATAATTTGTGAATATTAACTAATGATTAACTCTTGAATAAGGAATATCCTTAACTAATTTTTGCAAGGCGTTAGCCAAAGTCAGTTTACTGTTAGAAATCCGTGCCTCAAATAGAGGTGCATAAGCATCTTGGTGGACGAGCACAGAGAGACATAGAACACAGCCAGCCTTCTTAACCGGCTGGATTGATCGTTAATGAAATAGGCGCCTGTCGGTACTTTTATGTTCTCTGACTGTACACGAGATGACAGTGTTGCTATAAAAATACTGTTGAGATGAAAAGGGAAGGAGTTCTGTAATGGGAACTCAGTGAGTAGTACGAACTGGTGTTGTGCTGTTAATAGCCTGTTAATACTGTACAGTGTGTGGCTACACTCTGGCTTTGTTATTTTGCCCACTTCCGTCCTTAATTGTTCCGTACTTTTTCAAAAACTTCTCATCCTCCTTAATGTCCTATTTAAATCAGAGATCATCCGAATCACATTAATATCACCATTAAAAACTAATAAGGTTCATGGTCATGCTAGTGTTGTGTCATGACAACAGTCTCGCCCTGAGTTGAGGAGTCTACCGGTCCATGAGGAGAAGTGGAAAACTATTCTATTTATAATATGATATCATATCTTCAATCAGACAAAGTTACTTGAGGTTTGGGAATATGTTTAATATACAATTTATGAATTTGGATATACTGTATGTTTCACAAATCCCGGGTGAACTTCAAACTCACACTCCTCTACAAGTTCGTATTGCACATCGCACACGCTCCACTCATCTGGATTTTAATGTTATTTCGGGAAACCTCTGTTACCAAAACAAAACGTATCAATAATAAATCAGTGAATGTTTTCCCAGACTGTTACTTGGTAGACGACCCTTTAATTTTTTATGGACGTCACAATTAATATTAGTAAAATGCATTGTTGCGTTGTTTCATTTAGCAGCAGCAGCGATCAACCACATTCATGTTTGAATGGCAGAACGCTTAAATTATGCAGCTATTGACTAACACTGGCTGGTGTTATGCTAGTTAACTCGTATGCTAACAGATTCATCATCGTCGAGACAAGAGGCAGAACTTACCCGCCTGTGGGTGACAAGAAATCTCCATCTTCGTCGTCTCCACCGAACATTTTATTCGTTAAAAGCCAATATGTAAAAATAAGACACGTGATGTAAAGACTAGGCTAGATTTTTTACATGGCAACTTCTGTAACTTCTGTAACTCTTCCGGGTTGTGGATTGTCAGCTGACTTTCCACCTGATTCACTTCTGACGTTGAGGGGGTTGCAGCCTTCAGAGGCGACGTTTGTAGGGTGAAGACGTCATCGCGCCGCGCCGAGGCTGCTTCGACCGCGGCAGAAAACTGACGTGCTGCGTGGCAGCCACCTTTGTGGGGACAACGTTCCCTTCGTTTATTCATTCATTAATTTTCCGAACCGCTTTATCCTCACTAGGGTCGCGTTGGGGGGGGGGGGGTGGAGCCTATCCCAGCTGTCTTCGGGCAGTAGGTGGGGGACACCCTGAACCGGTTGCCAGTCAATCACTCACACTCACACGTAGGGACAATTTGGAGTGTTCAATCAGCCTGCCATGCATGTTTTTGGAATGTGGGAGGAAACCGGAGGACCCGGAGAAAACCCACACAAGCACGGGGAGAACATGCAAACTCCACACAGGAAGGCCGGAGCCAGAATCGAACCCGGTACCTCTGCACTGTGAAGTCGAGTACTAACCACTCGACTACCTGCGCCCCGCCCCCTCGTTTAATGTCTGAACCAATTTTCATGAGATTTACTCATACATATATAAACACAACTTTTTTTAGCACCTTTTTTGCAGGAGTTTGCATGTTCTGTGTGGGTACTCCAGCTTCCTACTACATTCCGAAAACATGCATGGCAGGTTAATGGAATACTCTCAATTGCCCCTAAGTGTGTGTGTGTGTGTGTGTGTGTCCTCCCACATTCGAGAATCATGCATGGCAGGTTTGTGGAACACTCTAAATTGTCCGTAGGTGTGAGTGTGAGCATGGATGGTTGTTTGTGTGTGTGTGTGTGTGTGTGTGTGCCCTGCGATTGGCTGGTGACCAATTCAGGGTGTCCCCCGTCTACTGCCCGAAGACATCTGGGATATGGCTCCAGCACATCCGCGACCCTCGTGAGGATAAGCGTCTCAGATAAGGGATGGATGGATGGATGTCAGTCCATATAAAACAATTTTAATCCAATCATGTGAAGATGTGTGTTTGTCACTGATAATGTTTTTTTTCACAGAAAGAACACTGGAAACATGTGACCAAGTCTTATAACTTTCTCTTTTCATGACACACATAGTGCATTTGCCTCCCTTTGAGTAACAGTGCAATGGCAATGAAAACACTCTCCAGCAAAGACATGCCAGACAATCAAATATATATATAATCTGATTCAATTTCTGTATTTACAAACAAGCATTTTACAAACAAGCATACAAGACATGCTAACCATATTTTACACAACATATCCACAAAAAAGTTCACATTTTTTGTAATGCAATGGTTGTCAACAGTTCACTCTTTTTTTGCTGCGGAAGTACGTGATTTGTTGTTCCTTTTGCCTCTACGTGTGGCTGGAAATCGAATGAAGTCAAAATGTTTACCTAGGTCTCTATTGGGAAAGGGAGGTGAACCTGTGTGTAGTCGTTTTATAAAATGGACTTCTCTCTGATTTTCTCTTGTCTTGGAGGCTTTGATGGGCCTCCCTCTTCTTGTGAATGCGACATACCAGCTCTCATACTTGGCATTCTGAAAAGCTGTGTAATTGTTCTCCAATACAATCTCTGTGAAGATACAGTCACTGCTACAACCACTGGGCTGTATGAAGAAGAGAGAGAGAGAGAGAGAGAGAGAGAGAGAGAGAGAGAGAGAGAGAGAGAGAGAGAGGGG